CCAGGTACCGTAAGGCTGGGTGGGGGGCGCGGCACGACAGACCCCCGACTGGGGACAGGCCACCCCGGGGGCAGGAGAATGTGGGCGGCTGACGGACCCCTTCCCTCCGACATGCAGCCCTGGGGACAAGGACGTCCTTGTCCCAGCTGTGCCAAGCCCCTTGGGAATAGTCGGGGCAGGTGGTGCAGGGTCTCTTCCTTCTCCGTGTTGGCTCTAGGCTCCTTAGGGAGTGGTGGTCCCCGTCTCCGTGCCTTCATTATTTTAGGGGGGCCTGTAAACTTTGGCTCTGTCAGGAAGATTTGTGGCTGGGGTAGCTCTTCCCTCTGCATGTGCTGCTGTGTTAAATAGGGTCTCCTGGGGACTGGGGGAACGGGGTCAGCCATCCGGCGCTGTGTGTTCCCTTCTTCCTCGGGCTGCTGCTTTGTTTAGTATCGGTTTCCTGGGATGGACCTGGTCCCTGGGAGGGCCCAATGGGGTTGGTGAGGCTCTCTGCACAGGAAGAAGTGAGAACGGAATTTACACCTTGGGACTGGGAGAGGATGGGTGCAGAGCCGCTGTGGGACATGCTTGGCTCCAGCAGCTGAGAGAGAAGGCAGGAGGTCCTGCCATCCATGCTTTGTCCTGCTCTGGAGATCCCTGCTGTCTCCCCAGAGCAGGAGGACAAGCTGGGCGTCCTGGACTGGAGCTGCCGTGGAGACTCTGGGGGTCCTGGGCTGGTGGGGGGTGCCCACATCCCCACCCTGAAAAGACAGTTCTCTCTGCCTGGCTTGGGTGGGCAGAGCAGCTGGGTGGGTGCAGGCAGAATCCATGGGTGGGAAAAGACTGAGTTGACTCCTGCTGACCCCTGCTCACTGTGTGCCCTCTCAGGTGGCGCTGCTGGATGCTGTTGCATGCCCTGAGGAAGAAGGTGGGTAGCAGGAAGAATCTAGGTATGTAGGAGGGGGGACTGCCTTACCTTGTGACAAGTGCATTGGTTCTCTGCCCACCCTGCCCATACCCCTCTCCTCAGCTGGAGTCTGCCCCAGGCTGGAGAACGGCTATGGAGAACTGTTCCTGTGGAATTTGGAACAGGGAGCTCTGTCAGCAGCATCCCCTGCTCCCCCCAGGCAGGAGGGAGACCCAGCAGCTGAGACCCAGCAGCTGAGACCCAGCAGCTCAGCTTACTGGCTAGGGCTGGGGTGACTTTGCCTGCAGGGTTTCCGAAGGCTGTATGCCCCAGGGAGGAGGAAGAGGAGGAGGAAGAATACAGGAGACCTGTCACCTTCACACTGGGAAATGAGATACTGGGGCTGGGCCCAGAGACCGAGTTTCAGACCCCTGATGCTGAGGTCTATATGCACTTCTTGAGGAGCCACTGCTGCTATGATGCCATCCCCACCAGCTGCAAGCTCGTTGTCTTTGACATCTCCCTGGAGGTGATAACCTGGGGGATGAGTGGGGATGGGCAGTGAAGAAGCAAGCTTGGGGATCCTCTGAACCCCTCTGCACTCTGCCAGCAGATCAAGAAAGCCTTTTTGGCACTGGTGGCCAACGGGGTTCGTGCTGCCCCACTCTGGGACAGCAAGACGCAGAGCTTTGTGGGTGAGTGGCAGAAGCAATGCCTGGCCCCAGCCCCTGCCTGGCAGAGCGGGTACAGGCAGCACTGCCAGCCCCATGTGTCTCCACAGGGATGCTCACCATCACCGACTTCATCAACATCCTGCACCGCTACTACCGCTCACCTTTGGTGAGTGCCACGAGGAGGGCTTGGGGGATCAGGACACGCATGGGGCAGGGAGTAGCTGTCCCCACCACTCCTGGTCCCTTCTTAATTGCTAGACAATGACCAGGGAATGATTCCGGGCCAGATCAGCATCTACTTGTTGCTCCCCTGCTTGGCCCCCAAAATTTAATCCCTGTGTTTGAGTGTTGGGGCACGATGCCCAAGGAAGGGGGCAGTGTCTCAGAGTGCCCTCAGTCCCCCATGGAGCCACCACGACCAGGGCATTTCCCTGCCTCCAGGTGCAGATCTACGAGGTGGAGGAGCACAAGATTGAGACCTGGAGAGGTAAAAAACATGTGGGTAGCTGGGCTGATGTTGTCACACAGGGCATGGAGGTGGGCTCTGGGATTGTGGGGCTGCAAGAGAGGGCTGGAGGACCTCCTCTCATAGCTCTCTCCCTTGGCAGAAGTGTACCTGCAGGGCTCCCTCAAGCCACTGGTCTACATCTCTCCGAGCAATAGGTGAGAATCTGTCCACTGAGGGGGAGCACACCCCTTGCAGTGGGGTGTGTGCACCTGAACACAGCCCTGTCCCACCACGATGTCCACATCACCCACAGCCTCTTCGATGCTGTCTACTCCCTGATCAAGCACAAGATCCACCGCCTGCCTGTCATTGAGCCTGTCTCGGGCAATGTCCTGCACATCCTGACGCACAAGCGCATCCTCAAGTTCCTCCACATCTTTGTGAGTGCTGGGGCTGTTTGTGCACGCTCATGGCTGGTGTCACAGGCAAGGGTGTCAAGGTACATGCAGGTGCCAGCCCAGCCCTGCCCTGTCCCATTGAAGGCTTCTACCATCCCCAAGCCACGCTTCCTGAAGAAAACAGTGCAGGAACTGTGCATTGGCACCTTCCGTGATCTGGCCGTCGTGGCTGAGACTGCCCCAGTCCACACTGCCCTGGAGATTTTTGTGGATCGCCGTGTCTCCGCCTTGCCTGTCATCAATGATGCTGGTACCTGGGGAGGGAAAATGTGACGTCCTCATCTCCCTCTGCTAGCAGCTCCAGCACCATCCCTACCCAAAACCCCTCTCCTGGCCCTTAGGCTGCCCCTTGGGTGTGGGAGGAACATGGCAGGTGGTCCCTAGGGCCCCTTCTGCAGCCCCTGCTCTGTTTCTCTTTGCAGGGCAGGTGGTTGGCCTGTACTCGCGGTTTGATGTCATTGTGAGTACCCTGCGTGTGTGCATGCCCAGGCTCAAGTTTGGCCCCTTGCATGCGCTGGTGGGGTGCTTATACCTGTCTGTGCCCATGCCAACCCACCCCACATGCACTGTCATTGCGCGTGCCAGTGCACATTTTCTCTGTGCATCTCCTGGGCTTGGTGTCCCCTCTCTGGTTGGCAGAATGGGGTGTAAGGATGCCTTGGGGCGCTGAATGGGGACACATCTATCACAGCACCTGGCAGCCCAAAAGACCTACAACAACCTGGACATCAGTGTGAGGGAGGCGCTGCGGCAGCGCAGCGTCTGCCTGGAGGGGGTCCTCACCTGCTACCCCCACGAACCCATGGAGGACATAATTGACCGCATTGCCAAGGAGCAGGTGAGTGGCCGCAGTGCCCTGTGCCAGCCACGGCTGCCAGCTGCCCAGCCTGCCCGTGATGCTCTGCCTGCACCCACAGGTCCATCGCCTGGTTCTGGTGGATGAAAACCGCTACCCGCGGGGCATCGTCTCCCTCTCTGACATCCTGCAGGCCCTTGTGCTCACTCCTGCAGGTATTGATGCTCTTAACTCTTAGCCCACGGTGCTCCATCTTTCTCCACTTGCACCCTCAATTTCTCTCCACTTCAGGTAGGCGCCACCCCTGCATTGCTGTGTGCCTGTCCCCTCCCTGCTGCTGGGGCTCCTGCCTCTGCCTCTGCCCCATCCAAAGTGGTCTTGGGGGATGGAGGAGGCTGGGGCTGGGGTCTGGCAGCGCTGGATGCCCAGGTGGGGACAGCAGGATGCAGAGGCTGCTTGTCCCAGGGGTACACAAGGATCACAGGGATCCCTGATGACTGTGAGGAAGGATGAGGGCACCTTCCATGGAGACACTGCCAGAATCCCATTCAGGCAGCGTGTGGAATGCAGGTTTTGCAGGTCCCTGGGCTTTGGGCTAGATGAGGGTTTTAGGGTGTGATGCACCCCAAGATAAAAGCCTATTTTTTATCTTGCCTCATTCCCCTCCTGAGACCTGAGCACCTCCAGTGCCATTCCCAAGGGACACAGAACGGACAGACCACCACTCACACACCCCGGACCTGCTGCCCACCACCAGCCATAAACAAAATGTGGCCAGCCCATGGGCTCCAGCTGGCAGAGCCCCCACCCCCTCCACTTGCAGCAGCCCCAAAACTGTCTGTTCCAGAGACAGGGCTCACTCCCAGGTGGCACTGGAACTACACTGCCTGGCCACCTGCAGCCGGCTCTGCTCACCCACTGCCTGGTGAATCCTCACTGGCTGTGGATGGGCATGGTCCTGGCACTCACTGTGGCACCTCTGTAGGGGTGAAATGAGGAGGGGGGAGCTGGCTCCAGGTCCCAGCTGCTTCCCAAAGGTAATTATGCTTTTTGGGGTGGTGGTGGGCAGTGGGTTGGGACAGGCCTGTGCCTACCAGTTCCCCCAGCAATGCCCACATGCTCTGCACAGAAGGGGACTGGGGATGGTGTGTGTTAGCCACCAATGGGATATCCCCCTTGCTCCCCTCCCCCTATCACAGTGCCTTTGCTCACCCTGTCCCTGATGCCCCAGGGGCAGCTGTATCAGGAGCTGCAGGGGGCCACTGAGATGTCCCATGCCAGCCAAGCTTCCCTCCCTCCTACCCCAGGGCTTGCATGCAAGCAAGGACCGGAGGAAAGACCCCAGTGTCCACTGGGATGTTGGAGGGGCCATGTCACAGGGTGGCCAGTCCAGCACTCATTGGGGGTTATGGTCTCACACGCTCTCTTGCCCCACAGGCATCAATCGATCCTCACTCTGAAGACACCAGGGAAATGCCACTGTCTTGTCTGTCTTGGGGATCTCCTGCGTGACCTGTGAGAAGGAGGCTTGGGCCCAAAGGCTCTCTGTGGGGAGGACATGCCTGTTCACCCCAGTCCTCGGGCTCGTCTCGAGTCCAGGGCTAGATCCTGCTGGTCTTGGAGAGGCAGAGACACTGACAGTGGGACCCAGGGGTGCCTCCTGCCAGTGAGCACACAGCAATGCTCAGTGGGCACTATGCTGAGGGGGCTGCAACATGCCTGCAGCTGGGCAGAGCCCCATACAGCCCCAGAGGACCTGGCCACCCTCTGCCATCCTGCTGATGGATCTGAGTGTTTCTATTGTGGCTCCCTCCTAGTGAACACAGTCCCGCTGTCTGTGCTTGGTGCCTGGTAGCGTAGGCTCAGCTGCACACACAGGCTTTTTTATTTTAGGGTCACACGGGGCTGGAGCTCTCTGGCAGAGGCACAGCCCATGCCAGAGCTGGCAGCAGGATGGGCACTTGCATGGAGACCCTGTGCACGTTTTGGGGTGGGCAGGGGATATTTATTTATTTGTTAGTCTGTTCAGCCTTGCTGTAACAAAACAGCCTGATCGAAGAATTGCCTCTTGCCTTTCTGGGGTAAAGCTGGGCATGACTCCTCTGGAGGGAACCAGGCTGGGAAAGGGGTACTGTCTGTTTGCCAGCAAGTTTGGCACTGGCAGAGCAGTAACTCGGGGGGAGAACCAAGGGGATGGGGACACAGGGCATGCAGTCTTAATCATCGTGGTGGTGTGCAGGTCCCTTCAGGGACACACTGAGGGACAAAAGCTTTGGTACCAGCAAGGTTTCTGCCTGCTGCTTCCCTCAGTCCAAGAAGCAGGAAAGTATGAGGGGTTGACTGTTAAAAATGTCCCATGCCCCATCCCTCGAGGCCTCTGGGCAAAAGGCAATGCATCCCCTGCCTGTGACTGCTACCAGCTGTGAGCCTTGCAATGGTCCTGGCTTGGGGGTAGGGGATGCTGAGCTGATCTTTCTTGTCCTGCTTTGCCTGCAGTGAGCCCTGCCATTCCTGTTACCCCATATCAGCATCTCAGCGCAATAAAGGCTGACAGTGGAAAGTCCCAGGAACTAAACACCCCGCCTGAGCAGGCTGGCTCTGCCAGGGGATGCAATACCAGTCCTGGGTGGTGACAGGCCTCCTCCCATCATGAGGAATGTGTTATTGCTGGGCTTTCCCAGGACCATGGCTGGCTCTGTCCCTTGGGAAAGGCGCAAACCCCAAACACCACCAGCACTCAACCCTCCCCTGGGGGCAAGGGGAAAAGTGAGGCACAGAGAAGTTTCTGAGGCCAAGGTCAGCTGTTCAGAGAGGACCCAGATGTCCTGGCTCCAGGCACAGATCCACGCGCAGCTACACAAGGACAGGACGAAGGAGACACTGAATGGCTGCAAGCCCCCTCCCTGCTTTCCCCCAGCCCCAAAAGGGCTCCCGGGTTTCTGACACAGCCCAGCTGGGCATGGGATGGGGGGGACACTACCCCCCTGCAGTGTGTCAAAGGCACAGCAGTTCCCCCAGCCTCCTGCTGATTTTGGGCAAGGGGCTACTAGTGGCCCAGGGGTGATTTGGGTCAATCTCTCATCCCCCACACCTTTCCCACTGTGGGGCTGTGAGCCCCCTGGCCCAAGCTAGCCAGGGAAGGGGTTTGCCTTCCTGTCCTCCTTGTGGGGCAGTAAGGGGGATCTCCATCTGGCACTCAGGGTGGGGGTGGACGTGCAGTCAGGGGGCTCCCGGGCGAGCGATGAATTCCAGGTTGATGGGCTTGTCAGCCACCAGGACAATGCGGGACACAGATGTCACTTCTACGCCACGGGGGTCTGGCCGCACCTCAAATGCCTGGATCATCTGTGGGGAGAAGAGGAGTTGGCAGTGCCTCAGGGACTCTCTGGGATGCATATCCCAGCTCATGGCAAGACACCCAGAGTGGAAGGATCCCTACTTACCCTGGCAAGGGCCAGGTGCATCTCCAGCTCAGCGATGCGGCGCCCAACGCACGCGCGGACCCCGTAGCCGAAGGGGATGGAGCTGAAGGGGTGGTGAGGGGAGCCGTGCCCCCGGAGCCAGCGCTGGGGCAGGAACCGCTCGGGCTCGGGGAAATAGGTCTCATCATGGGACATCGCGTAGTGCGCCAGGACAAAGAGGGTCTGCAGGGGGAAACTGGGGTTTAATGACCCCACTGAGTGCAGAGGGGGTCCCCCACAGCACGGCCCCCACTCACATTCTTGGGGAAGAGGTAGTCTCCGATGACAATGTCCTTCTCATAGAAGACCCTGGCGTTGGTGGGCACCACAGGGTAGACTCTGGGATATGGAGAGAGTTAGTGGGGGAGCAGAACTCATCCGGAGATCCAGGAGAGAGCGAGACAAGACACGAGGACAAGGCTCAGCAGCTCCCCAGGGGAGAGGTGGATATTCACAGTCCAGAGGGACTGAAATCCAGCCTTGCCTCCTGCCTGGTTGGTGCATCTCCCCTGGAGAAGGGGCTGGTGACCCGCATGTGAGGGCAGGGACAAGGCTGGGATGTACCTCAGAGTCTCCTTGATAATGGCCCGAAGCATCGGCAGCTTGGGGATATCCTCAGCAGCAGGAAACCGGTCGGGAGGCACAACAGCTTTCAGCTCCTGGTACAGGGTCTCCTGGATGTCTGGGTCCCGGGAGAGGTGGTACAAAGCCCATGACAGCGTGTTGGAGGTCTGGGGAGTGGAGCACCAAGGGGAGTGAAGGAACTGGGGCCAGTACCTGAGCAGCCTTGTGCCAAGCACAGCATCAGTACGGCACCAGAGAGCCCCTGCTCTGGTATGCAGAAAAGTCAGGGGTGAGGGGCAGCAAGCACAGTGGAGAGGGAGGCAGGGAGCAGGATACAAAGCAGAGCAGAGGATGGGATCTGTATTGACCAATTCCTGAAGGTTTGCCCCTCTGGAGCATCAGTCCCAACTGGGCTAGAGCTCACAAGGGCTGGGTGGAGCATGGCCCCATGGGCTCCCCTGGGCATGGAGCACAGCAGGGATCCCCTGACAGCAGCTGCCTGGCTCTCACCGTGTCCACACCAGCCAGCAGCAACTCGGCCACGCTGCCATAGACCTCATCCAGGCTGAGTCTGCCACTGGCCAGCAGGTAGCTCAGGTAGCCAGACACCTCCGTGCCACGCTCCACCTGCCCCTCCAGCTCCTCCATCTTTCGGTCAATCAGTTTCTTGCCTGCAGGGACAGAGAGCAGGAACCAGAGCTGACAGAGCAAGGGCTGCCAAAAAGACATTTGGCCAGGGACTGCCCTGCTTTTGAGGGTCTTTAGGGAGTACAGTGCCACCACACTGGACCCCCACTGTCACCGCTCACCAAAGGCGAAAATGGTGTCCCAGCTGTCCAGGTAACGGTCCCAGAAGGGCAGCACCTTGCGGCTCCATCGGGGCAGGACGGTGGCAAAGATGGAGTTCTTGAACATGAGGTTGATGGAGTCAATGAAGTGCTGGGTCTCAGGAGGGACCTGCTGCTTGAGGCACCCGATGCGGGTCTCGAAGAGGATGTAAGAGATGCCTGTGGGGGACAAACAGCATCCAGACCTCTGGCGGAATGGGAACGGTGGGACAGGGTGGGGGTGAGGGAGAGGACACCCCTACCTTCCAGGGCAAAGCGGTAGAGCAGGTTGGCCACGTCCCCCACCAGCACCCCCGAGGGGCTGCGGCTCCGCTCCTCCCGCAGGCGCACCATCAGGTCTGACACCACCTCCCCGATGGCGTCCGCGTACAGCAGCGCCTCCGAGGGCTTCAGCAGCCGCTTGTTGAGCACCTGGCGCAGGCGGTACCAGCGCTCCCCTTCCCTGCATGGGGACGAGGTTCAGCGCCGGGGGCACGGACAGGCAGGGGGCAGTGGCTGGCAGCAGTTCCCCAATCCCTGTGTGCACACTCCCCACCCAGGCTGGAGCCATCCCAGGGGTCATTCCACCCGCCATGGCCATGCCCTTCTGCTTGGCAGGGACAGGCAGCTTGCAGGAGTGGGAGTAAAGCCAACGGGCACCTGGGTCCTGCACCTAGGGGAGGGGCAGGAGATGTGTGCTGGCCCAGAGAGCGCAGCCAGGGTGGGACTCACTCGGTGAAGGGTCCGTAGGGCAGGCGCCGGGTGTCCCGGTGCTCCTTCCACAGCGCCATGTCGCTCCGCATCGGGTACTTGCCCTCCTGCCGCAGCAGCTGCTCCAGCACCACTGGGCTCCCAATGTTGATGTTCCTATAATGTCCGAAGGTTGACTTCCAGATAGGTCCATAGAGGCGTCGGGATATCACCTGTGATGCACAAAGCATGGCAGGGTCAATGGGACGAGCTGGGTCAGATCCTCCCTGCCTCAACCCTGAATGTGCCTATCTGCACCCATCCCATGGACCCCTCAGCATCACCTCAGCTCAAGCACCTGCCTCTGATGCCCCCAAGCTGGCAGCATCCTTGAAGTGCTCTGCAGATGGCCTGGGCTGGTGTCTCTGGGCTCATTTCCTCTCCCAGCATTAAGTACACCAGGCACTGACCCTCAGCACAGACTGGCATATTCTTCACCCACCCCAGAGATTCAGTGACAGCCTGGAGGGTCTTTTGGGGAAGGACGACCAAGAAGGGACAGCAGGGACAGAGACAACAGCCAAGCACAGGAGTGTGCTGAGATGCAGGACCATTGCAGCAACCACCAGCAGGACTAAGTCCTGCTGCTTCCAGCATGGCCCCAGCTCTGCTTAACCTGGGGACAACAGTCGCTGAGTGGGTCCTTGAACTCACCACCCAGTAAGGATGGTTAATGATCAGCAGTGGGAGGACAGCACCAGGCTAGGGCATGACTGGGCTGCTCCCAGAACAGGCTGTCACGTCCAGGGCATGGCCCTGGGGCCACAGGGCCCACAAGCCAGCTAGGGGATGTTCACCAACATCAGCCCTGCTCTGGGCCCTGCTGGCTGCAGCTCCCTTCTCCTTGTCTGCAGCCACAGGTGCCATGCCTGCTGCCCTGGCCGGGAGCACCGTGACCTCCAAGTGCATCCCTTGGGGGCAGCTGGGCAGCCCTTTCCAAATGGATCTGCGCAGGGCTACGTCCAAAGGCCACTTTCCATCCCACCCAGGTACTGCCAGAGCCCCTGCAGAGCATGGCCAAGCATGGGGGGGAGGCAGGGGACTTAGCAGGCAAGCCCTGGTCCCCGTTCCCCGTGGCTGCGGGGATGCACGTGGTACAATCTCCCTTGGTGACTGTCTGCATCGCAGCCTGTGCCTGGATTCAGCTGGATTCGTCACCACAGGGAGACGTTCCTCGTTCCTCGTGCATGGTGGCAGGAGGAGGGGGAGGGATGGCTGCCCTGGTACTGCAGGCAGCTCCTGGGCATGGGGCAGCTGTGCTCCGGCTTGGAGCCTGCCCACCAGCATCTGCTGGCAGCCAGGACCTGACACAGTGCAGGCCTTGGAGAGCTAGAGCTGCCTGGATACGGGGAAAGGCACCTCCAGAGCATGTGGGCATCTTTCTGCAAAGCCAGGCTGTGTCCCAAGGGCAGGAGGGAGCTCCAGTGCCTACACCCCAAAACCCCTTCTCCAACCAGCAGTGCCTGGTGCTCTGAGGTGACAGGGAGGCCTGATCCCGCACGCTCCTCGGGCTGGTCAGAGCTCCAGGGCGCTGGAAGATGCCGCCTGGCTTGCAGCCAGCCAAGCCCATTGCTTGCTACATCCGACGTATGAGGAAGTGTTGAGAGAAGAAAACAAATACCTCTGCCTACCCCTCCCCGGTCTTGTATCATCTGCCCAAAACCAGCCCAGCCACCTGCACCAAAAACCGCTGCTCCCTCCAGCTGTCACAGCCGGGAGCCCAGGGATGCCAGGACCCTGTGAGATGCCCCCAAACCTTTGCCCTCAGCTGCCCGGTTGGCTCGGGGATGCTGGAACAGCCCTGGGCAGGCTGGACCCTCCCGAGGTCACTCGGTTCTGCTGGCCCCTCTCTGCCTGCTGCCCCCAGCATCACCCTACGGCGCCGGGTGCCCCCCACCGCCCAGCCCCTCTGCTCCCCGGCACTGCCGCCCCCGCTCAGCTCCCTGCCGTCACTTGTCGGCAGCTCACCCCCTCCCCGGAGCGCATCTCCCCTTGATCCCAGCCCGCACCCACTCCCTCCCTTGCAAAGCGCCGGGTCCAGCACCCTCCCTGCAGCCCCCCGGCAGCCCCTCCATCCCACGCACCCCTCCGAACCCTCCTCCGCCGCTACGCCCCCGAGCAGGGTGGCCAGGCCCCCGCGCAGCCCGAGCCCCGCACGCCCGCACCCCGGGCCGGCTGCCCCGGCGCACCTGCAGCCGGTGCGTGTGCAGCAGGTAGCCCCGCAGGAACAGCCAGACGAAAGTACGGAGCAGCCCCGGCCCCGGCAGCTCCTCCGGTCCTTTCAGCCGCGCCGGCCCAGCCGCCGCTGCCGCCGAGCCCCCGGTCCTGCGCGGCGGTCCCGGGCTGCTGCGCGGCGGCGGCGGGCGGGGGCGCAGGAGCAGCGGCAGCAGCGGCCACCGGGCCCCGCCGCTCGGGCCCGCCATGCTCCGTCGGCAGCGCACGGGACGGGGCGGGGCGGGGAGGCACCGAGGGTGGTGGGGGGCGGCACCGGGGGCGGTGCGGGGGGCGGCGCGGGGGCGGCGACCGGGCACCGGCACCGGGGACGGAGCATCGCGCACCGGGTACCGCGCACCGGCAAGAGAATCGCGCACCCGCGGCGTTGCGCAACGGGTGCTGGCCCCGGCTGCTGCGCTCTAGGTGCGGGGTACCGGCTGCTGCTCAGCGGGACCGGGCACGGGGCAGTCCGTACCGTGCGCCGGGCGCCGGCTGCAGCACACCTTCCACCGGGCCGTGCAGACCGGCTGCAGCGTGCTACGTACTCGGTACGGCACACTGGGCACCATGAGCCACACACCGAGTACTGGACAGTGGTGACTGCTCAGCAGCATCACGGATCAGGCAGAGGGTGCTGGGTGCTGGAAATGGCACCAGCGGTGCCCGGTGCCACGTAGCAGCTACTGGGTGCCAGGTGCTGTGCCTGGTGGAGCTTTGCACATGGCAGCTGGCAGCCAGCACTGGCGTGGCATGGCAGGTACAGCACCCTGGCACCATGGAGCCTGTGGCACCAGGTGCTGCTGTATCCTGGGCATTGCATCCATAGGCAGTGGGTGCTGGGCATTGCACACCAGGCACAGGCACAAGGACTGGGCACAGCACCAGCCAGGGCACAACGTGTGCCAGCACTGGCATTGCACTCTGGCACTGGATTTCACATCCCAGACCCTGCACACCTTGCATCAGCTCCAGGTTCGCCACTGGGCTGCTCTTTAGGTCTGCTTGGCCTCCTGGACTGAGCCGTCCTGCCCTGCTTCTGTTCCCTGCCTGTCACCCCCCTGTGTATGCCTTGACCCCCCAGCAGGGCAGGATGGTGCTGTGGGGAGCTGGGTCCAAACTGTCCCAGGCTCTTTCTCACCACTTTCTCCAGGCACTGCCAGCCAGGACCACGGGTGGGGAGACCTTGGTAAGCCCACTGTGGCTGCTGACACCAAACTGGAGGGAGGTTTGGTATGTTTTCATGCCAGTGAGAGAACAGTGCCAGCTCCTGCCTCAGGCTGGTGCAGGCCAAGCTGTCCAGCCCGTGAGCAGGACCGTGCTGGGTGTCTGAGACCATGCACGCAGGACGTGTCTGTTCTGGCCAGCCTGGGACAGTGGGGCAGGCAGGGCCCTGTCCAAGTGTCACTCCAGGAGTGTCCCACACCATGGGACATCAGTGCTGATCATTAACTGCACTTATCGGGCATTGGGTACAAGGTCCTGGCCAGGGAGGCTGAGTGAGGCTGGGCAGATATCTGGGAGCGCCGCGAGTGGCTGCTGTTGCCCTCGGTCCTGTCTCACCAGGGCACCGGGAGTGTCCCGGGCCAGGCTCCGGGCTGATGCTTTGTGTGCTCCCTGCCAGCGGGACCGGGATTGGGGTGCAGGACACAGGCACCCCCGTGCTTGTAGACACCCCTCAGGCACCCCAGGCTGGGACAGCCAAGAACGAGCGCCTGCTGCCATCTCATGGCTACTCACAGCCAGCTCTGTGCTTGCTCTGCCCCGGCCGGGTTCAGAGCCGGTGCAGCAGGAGAGTCCCCGCCCGAGGACTTCTGTGAGCTCCCAGCCTGGGAAACTGAGACCCTGTAGCTCTCACTCCCCCGGGCAGAGGATGCCCTGGCCTCTCCCAGCCTGCTGTGCTTCCCTTTGCCGGGCAGAGGAACCCTGAGACCTCTTTCAGTTTAAAACAATTGCCACTTGCAAAAAGAGTGAAAACTCCACAACTTCTGGTAAAAGGTCCCTCTCCATCTTTCTTATAAGCCCATTTATATATTGAAAAGTTGCAATAACCTTCTCCAGGTTGCACAACAAAAATCTCAGCCTGTCTTCACGGGAGAGGGGCTCCAGCCCCCTGATCATTTTGTAGCCTTGTCTGGCTCGCCTGAACCTGCTCCAACAGGTTCATGTCTCGCACTGAGGATCCCAGAGCTGCTCTGCTTCAGGTGGGTTCTCCAAATGTGCAGTGGAGCAGAAGCAACCACCTTCCCTGCCCTGCTGGGCATGCTCCTTATTTTCCAGTCTCAGACGTGATCTGCAAGTGCACATTATCGACTCCTTTACTGGTTTTGATCCACCAGTGCCTCTGACTCCTCCACAGGGCACCTCTCCATCCATCCATCCATCCATCCATCCATCCATCCATCCATCCATCCATCCATCACACAAACCGGTACTAGGGTCGCCCCGACCTGTGTTCAGGACCTGGCACTCGGCTTTGTGGAAGGACAAAGTCGCTGGCTGTACCACG